GTTTCACATGAAAATGTCAAAGCAAGCAAACATAATTGGTTAGCTTTCGGCAGCGGGTGGTCACATTTTCGTCTAAGGCGAATTACTAAGCTGTGATGACATCTCATGTCATATCAAAGGTAATGTTCGATGTGAGAGAAGTTGAAGAATCTCAGGTGTATGAAATTATTGGCGCTTTTCACTACGACGTCTTTCTTAGCTGTGAGCCATTTTGGAAAGTGAACCTAGGACGAACATTTGATTTAGTTTAACACGTCGTAGAAGCGAATTCGGAGTGGTGTGGGCGCAGCGTTTACAAGGTGATGGCGGATTGAGCAACATCTGTAATGATGCGATAAGGGCAGGCTTAATGCTATCGCGGTCGTTTATTGACCCCGACCTGTGGCCCACGATCAAGGATTCGCTACACCGTTCACGCTATCAGAATTCTATTTTACGGGAGCAGTAAACGTACCATGACAGCAGCTGGCGCACGCGACCGCGAAGAATAGCAAGGCCGCACACCAAAGACCTGAAACGTAAAAGAGCGATGACTGGGTAAGACAGCATTGCTCAGAAAGAGTGTAAGTCGCGGTCCAAACATGACTGAACTTTCAAAATAAGTTCGGAAAGGTCTACATAACAGTCGACTAAAACAATAAACAAGATGAGGCGTTTTTTTAAAAGAGCCCAATTAAGAAACCGAAACTAGGCTAAGTTTATGGAACGCAAGGCACGCCTTAGTATCTTCAATTTCCGGAGCAGTTAGAATCAGAATGGGGGAATGCCTTACTGAAACATGAGCTCAAAAAGGTATTTTGTAATAAAAAATAAGGCAAGTACTCCAATGTTTCAATGAAATTGACCCACATTCATTAAACCAGCACTGCACAAGCAAGCGTGATCAAATTAACCAGTATGGTCCCACCCAATGTGTTTCATTTGTGTCTTAGTCGCTTTGTATGGTTTTGGGACGTTAAACCCCACAAATCAATCAATCAATCAATCAATCAATCAATCAATCAATCAATCAATCAATCAATCAATCAATCGCTTTGTAATGTTGTAGACGTTACACAATATATTTTCTAGCCGGAGTTGGCGCTTACTGAAAGACATGATGTTCAATGACAAAACTCGACTGTAAAGTGGGCAGTGGAACGGAGCGGCCGCCACCATGGTCTCATCCAACCACTTTTTGCTTTTGTACAGTTGTTCGCAGTCATCAGCACGAGCTCGCCAGACTGCGTGGAACCACATGCGCCTGGCACGCCAAACGGCACGTGCCCTCCCCAGCCCGAACCGAGCCGTTGTTGCCCGGAGCCACTTCAACCTCCCGTTCCGGTAACCCCTAACGCTGCCACCAAGCCAACCGCATCGACATCGTCAAGCCACCAGAAACTACAAATACAGCCAACCTTGCACCGCGCGCCTCAGTGGCAGTGGAACGGAGCGGCCGCCACCATGGTCTCATCCAACCACTTTTTGCTTTTTGTACAGGTTGGTCCCTTCCAAGATTATAGCGCTAAGCGATCTAGCAACTATTGTCTGCTGCTCCTTCCATGCCCACATGTGTTGCTTGATATAGTCGCAGAGTGTTTTGTTGTTATAAAGGAACTTCTTCTTTGCGGGGATATTGAACAGAATCCTGGTCCGAATAGCGAAGTATTAGCCGCCATCAGCAAACTAACCGCACACTTGGATGAGCGTCATGACAACTTGCAGAAGACTATTAACGAAGTTAAAGAAAACCAGTTGCTACTTGATGCCAAAGTAACAGATTTAACCACCCGACTAACTGTACTTGAACAGAAGGTTCTTACCCTCGAGAGCGTTCCCGACAATGCACAGATACAAGGTCTTGTAACGGCTGCCGTGCGACACGAAAGTGTCGCTCTCAGTTCACGGCTTGATGACTTCGAGGATCGCTCTCGTAGGGAGAACCTAATTTTTTATGGGATATTGGATTCTGCCTCAGAAACCTGGGCCGAGTCGGAGCTAAAAATTCGTGAAATCCTGTCTGCGTCTCTTAAACTGGAACTTCCTAATGAAGCCATCTCCCGTGCACACAGGCTTGGAACATATGTACAGAACAAATGTCGACCTGTTATTGTTCGCTTCAGTTCGTTTAAAACAAGAAAAAGTGTCTTTACTAAGAAATCGATGCTTCGCAGCACCCCCGTGTCAGTTAGCGAAGATTTCTGCAAGGCCACGCGCCACGTGCAGAAAAAGCTTTTAAATTTCGCGAAAAGCACTGGGCAGCCATATTACTTGAAGTATAACAAGATCAACAAGAAAGCCTACGTTTATTGTCCGGTCACCGATCGTGTAACCGAGGCAGGACCTATTTATGATAACCCCGTCCACGTTGCTCCCGAAGTAAGCAATGCAGAATGCGCAGGGGCCAGCGCTCCTCCTTCACATCGATAGCTAGATAAGCATTTTCGAGCTCATGAATTTTCTTTTTTGCTATGTAATTCTCGAAATGTTACTAACAAGCGTGATGCCCTATCTGCGCTAATAGATACATGTCTAGCTGATGTCGTCGTAGTAACTGAAACTTGGCTGTCCGCGGAAATTGAAAATAACGAAATATTTAACTGTTCAAAAAAGTTTAAATTCTACCGCTGTGACCGGGGTACGAGGCGCGGGGGCGGCGTATTGATTGCCATTAGCGACGAGAATAGCTCGTTCAGCGTGCCTGTTGTTTCAGCGCTTGAAATTGTTGTCGCGTGTGTTGGCATTAACCACAAAGATATCGTTGTTTGTGGCTGCTACCGGCCTCCTAGCCTTACTACCGGTTTCGCAAATGAATTACACGATGTACTAAATAAGTTGCAAGTAAGGTTTCCGGCTGCGCCTATGTTTCTCCTAGGTGACTTTAACTTCCCTGATGTTTCGTGGTCTCCGCCTTTCCCAATAATTTCATCAACTTCTGCTGACAGTGCTGCCTTTCTTGATGTGTGTTCAGACTTTAACCTTACCCAGCTGGTTAACGCTCCAACCCGCATTACCTCGTCCACCTCCTCAGTTCTAGACTTGGTGCTGACCACGCATCCCGACCTAATTAAATCCCTATCAGTTATTCCGGGCATAAGCGACCATCTAGCTATTCATTTTAACATGACTAAAACAACTAAAAGAAATGATAGCTCAAAAGTTTTTAGGGACTACAAAAGAGCCGACTATGTTTCAATTAATAATGATCTTCAGCTTTTCCTAAACGATTACCTTTCGCAATTTCTGGAAAGGTCCGTGCAACAAAACTGGAATTTGTTTAAGCAGAAGGTAGCAGAACTTACCAATCGTTTTATTCCGCTCCGCAGAATTAGGCAAAGCGCAAAGTCCCCTTGGTTCACGCTTACACTAAAACGACTACTGAATAAAAAGAAACGAATTTTTCGAAGGGCAAAGCTAACTAACAACGCGGAAAGGTGGTCTGCTTATCATCACGCAGCTGACGAGTACACTCGCGCATTATCCGTCGCAAAAGAAAATTATTATCAACAAACGCTTCCCTCTCTGCTTGCAACTAACCCTCAGAAATTTTGGCAGATGAT